CTCAGCACCATCACGGAAGGCCAGCTGCGGGCAGGCGCAGGGCCAGGGGCTGGGCCAGGGGGAGGGTTTTCGCGGAAGGAGGGGTGGGGAGGGCGCACGGACTGTCGGGAAGTGTGGCAGCGAGCAGGGAGATGGAGGGCCGGGCGAGGCGGGGGAGGCTTCTTCTCTAAGATCCTAGCGGCTCGTGCGTGTTTCAGAGATGACAGCAGAGCTGTCTCGGAGCACGGCGGCGTGAGGCGACCCCAAAACACATTTTCCACTGGAAAAAACCCCAGCAGAAGTCGCAGGCAGCATGTGGGCCTCGGTGAGTGTACGGGTCTGGGACCCCCGGCAGCGGTCAGTTGCCCTGGTACCAGTCCAGCGAAGGGGTGAGGTCAGTGTGGCCAGAGGGCTGGAGAAAGGTCCGGGGACTCGGTCGTCACAGGGTGGATGTGCCGCAGTCCTGGGAATCCAGCGGGGAGAGCGAGGGGGAGACGGCGGGTGACGGCCGGGGCAAGCGGAGGCGTCCGCGGGCACCAGAGCAGCTGCCTGAAGCAAGGAATGGACTTGCTGGGAGGGGCGGGGAGGCCAGGGGACGGCCGAGGTCGTCTGTGTGGACGCCGAAGACCCCCAGGGCAGGTGGGATAAAATCTGAGAATGATCTGGAACCCAGAGTCTGGAGTGAGTGCGGCACGGCTGGGATGTGAAGGGGAGGCACAAACGTGGCCAGGCAGCCTGGGTCTCAAAGTGACACGGGGCCTTTTTGCGTGGGGTGGAAGAGACGTGACGTCAACATCCACCACTGTGAAGCGTGCAGTTCAGTGGCATTAAACACGTCACACCATCATCTCACAGCCTCGGCATCTTCCCAGACTCACACTGGTCCCCATTAGACACCAGCTCCCTGCTCCTCCAGCCATCGCCCTGGCCCCGGCAGCCTCCCCTCCCGGGTGGCACAGGAGCTCACCCCCCTGAGCGTGTTCACGTCTCTGATAACTAAGGTGTCGAACATCTTTTCACATATTTATCGATCAGTCGTATAGCTTCCTTGGAGAAATGTCTGTCTATATCCTTTACTCGTTTTTAATGGCGTCGTCTGTGTTTTATTATTGTTATGAGTTCTCTGAGTGGTCTTCCACTTTCTTCACAGTGTCCCTTGAAGCTTAGAAGTTCTAAATTTTGGTGATGCCCACTTTATCTCTTTTTCTTTGGCCACTTACGCTTTTGGTGTCATGTATACAAAACCATTGCTTCATCCGAGATCCTAAAGATCTACTCCTGTGTTTTACTCTAAGAGTTTTATAATTCTAGTTCTTTCCTCTAGACCTCTGATCCATTTTTTCTGTTACTTTTTGTAGCTGGTGTAAGGTGAGGGTCCAACTTCATTTCTTTGCATGCGAGTATTCAGTTATCCCAATGCCGCTGGTCGAAGGACCCTTCTCTCCCTGTAGAATGATCTTGGCGCCCTCGTCTGAAATCAGTTGCCCGTACGTGTACCATTTATTTCTGGACACTTGACTCTATTCCATTGATCCGTATGGCAGTCAGTCTCGATTACGTAGCTTCGTAATACACTCTGAAATCGAGACATGTGACTGCTCCAACTTTATTCTGTTTCAAGGTGGTTTTAAGCCCGCTGGGATTTGGACAGGGGCTTATTTGAATCTGGAGATCGATTCGAGGAGAATCGTCGTCTTAACAAAACACGAAGTCTTCCTGGGTCCCCGAGCGCGGGACGTCATTCTGTTTCTTTAAATCTTTAATTTCTTTCCTTGATGTTTTGTGGTTTTCCATGTACGAGTCTTGCACTTAGTTTTAAAAAAATTAGCCCTGAATTTTTTATTCTTTTTGTGCTGTCGTAAATGGAGCCGTTTCCTGAATTCCGTCAGGCTGGTGTCCTTGTGTGCGTGATGCATCCTGCGACCTTGCCGAGTCTTTTATTAGCTCGAATAGTTATTTTATGGCTTTTTTTAGGATCGTCATCTGCAAATAGAGATAGTTTTACCTCTTCTTTTCCAATCCAATTGTCTCTTTTTTCTTTTCGCTGCCTGATTTCCTGGCTAGAAACGCCAGTGCTCTGGCAGGGAGTGGAAGCGGCCAGCAGCGGGGGGGTGGGGGGGGCATTGTCGCGTGTTCTGACCTCTGCTGCCCGTCGGGAGCACCCCAGGGACCGAGGTGAACCTTCCCCGCCCTCCGCTGCCACCGAAGCCACCGCCTCCAGAAGATGAAGGAATCATACTGCGAGAGGCAGAGGCACGTGACCCCAGACGGACGCTCACGGGAGGAGGAAGTGGTGATTATTGGGGGGGGGGGTCTAGTGAATATCTCCTTAACCGCACCGGGAATGACAGTGATGCTCCAGAACCAAACGCATGACAACCGTGCGCGTGACGGGAGACACGGGAAGGCGCCGAAGCTCCCTCCCGCCCTTGCCTGGCCGGGGAGGGAGCAGGGCCGTGACGGACTCTGGGGCAGCCGGGTGCAGGCCATAATGCCTGCGTACCTCTGAAGGAAAAGCGGACGGCGTTTCATCCCCAAGAAACGGGGAAGGTGGACTAATACAAGATGATTTAATCCAGGGGAAGGCAAGAGAGGAAAAGCAGCAGCAAGACGAAGAGTGAGCACTGGTAACGCAATAGGAGCAGATCCCAGCGCGTTAGTAATGCGTCAAGCGGGCCACGTGCTGCAGTTCAAAGGCAAAGATCGTTCGATGGAGTTTGAAAATATTCTAGCCCAAGAGCCTTTCCACCGTGGTGGGGGTCGGAGGGAGGCTCGTTCGCCGTGCTGCGCCGGCCATGCAGGTCCTGAGGAGAAGGTTCTGGAAGTCCCGGGCCTCGCAGAAGTTCCGTGGCAGTTGCAGCCGTTGGAGGGGAGGGAGCCGTTTCGGTTCCTGTCGGGCAAAGAGCTGCCACCGGTTTGCTCTGCTCGTGGCTGGGATAGCCGTTTGCCGTCAGCCGGTAAGTGGCCCATCGCTGGGGGGCTCCGGAGGACAGAGGTGGAAGCCAGGCCCGGGCAGACGGACACCCATCGCCCACCTGGAGGCTGCTCTCCTCCCGCTCAGAGCCAGTCGGGCGTCCGGGCTGGCGTGCGTGCTGCCCGCAGCCGGCCAGCCCCTCTTCCGGCCCCGTCTCCCCGTGTCCTCACTCCGGCCGCTCCATGCTGCCCTCCGCCCTGCGTCAGACACTGTCCTCTCCCAGAAGCCCCCAACTCTGGCTTCTCCTGTCTAGTGCTGAGGGCCCGGCCTAGGGCCACCTCCCAAGAGGCTGTCCCTGTGCCCCCCACCCCCATATGGGCGTGCTTGCCCTCCTCCAGAAGCGTCACATGGGACGACACTGTTAACTGGGATCTCCTGGTCTTCACCCCAAAACATGGCTAGATGGGACTATGAGATAAGACTGGCTGGCTGGGAGAGACTTGGGGGGCCCCAGGACCTCTCAAACCACACACGGCGTGGCTCTGGAGGGAGCCCCCACCCCCCACCCCTGATGCCACTCTTGGAAGAAAAGTCGATTTTGTAAAAGCCCAAACGTACAAAATCAGTAAACGGGACGATGCCTCCTTAAATTCTAGTAGCGTAAGGCGGCTGCAGATGCGAGCCTCCTGGCATCCTGTCCCCTGTCCCCATGTCTGTGAAAGGGTGGCAGCGAGGCCTGGCTCAGGAGCAGCTCGGCAGCACGCACGGGGCCCTCCAGGGGGCCTCCAGGCGGTGGGCGCCCCACAGATGCCGCGTGCAGCTCCGCCTGCTGCCGAGGGGGCCCGGCGGGTTTCCTCGGCGTCTGCAGATGTGTCCGCGGGTGAGACATATTCTCATCGGCACATGCTCCCCGAGTCCGCTCGCGGGGAGAATGGCATGCGGTTGGCTGCCGTCTCCCGCCACACAGCCGTTCAGCCGTGATACGGTGGCCGGGATGAAACTCAGCCCCCCCTTCACGGGACAAGCGTGTTTCTGAGAATGGCAGACCGTGCCCATCTCGAAAGCAGCGACTGTGGGCAAAGCAGAAGCTGGATCCTGTGAGTGCTCCTGGGTCACCTGTCACCGCAGAGATGTCAGGCCGTGCAGGGGCCAGGTCTGGGGCAGAAGGGAGCCCCGAGGGGCCAGAGGAGTGACGCAGCGCGGGGCTGTCTCTCCCAGTCCCCGAAGGAGCCGAGAGCCCCGGCTTTCCCCAGAAATCTAGACACAGCGGCCGCGTCCTGGGCTGTAGGGGAAGCCAGCGTCGGGCCTAACTCCTCCCGCCAGGGAGAGCAGCACCGACCCTGCCGACCTCACGCCCCTCGCCGCCCCGATGCTGGCCCTCTCCGAAGAGCCCGATTTCCCTGGAGTCTTTGTCCATCATGAGTTTGTAGAGTTTTGCTTGTTGCGATAGGGGCACAGTGTTTATCTTGGTAACTGAACTTCGGGGCGTCCACAGGGAGTGCCCACGCGCCCCCCCCCCCCGTTCGTGGCTTTGCGAGACTGCAGGGTGTTCTTTCAGGGGACTCCCTCCCCGACCCTCTAGTTCGCCCAGGCAGGACAGAGTAGACTCTGAGGGGCCAATGGGGGGACTGCAGTGGGATCCTTTTATGGGCGAGAAGCTGAGAAGCAGGGCGGAAGTTGGGGTACGCCATGGCTAAGTTAGGACAGGAGGAGCGTGCGGAACTTCACGTCCTGCACCCCAGGCCCGCCCCCCCCTTTCTGCGTCTCCCACACGTCCTGTGGGTGCGATGTCTTCGAGTTCCTGCTTCCCGGGACCCTCGAACCCGGCCTTTCCTACCCCGTCGCCTGCAGATCTCGTTCTCTCTTCCCCGAGGGCCCAGCTCCGCCTTCCCCAGCCTGTCGGCTTCATGGTCACAGCTAACACGAGCACACGCATTGCTGTGCAGCCCGGCTGCGTCGGTGACAGCCCACCGGGGGGCAGGGGGGAAGGTGACCGCCTGTCCCTCCCCCTCCCGCGGACCGTCCACGGCTGGAAACACGCACGATGAGCCCTTTCCTCTTGCTTGCCCGGAACAGGGGTTCGAGTGGCTGCGGTGACGGGCGGGAAGCCGCGAACGCCAGGGAGACGCGCTGCACCTGTGTCCGCCCGCGGCGCTAAGACGACGTCAGGATGACGGTCACGCCGGACGTGAGGCTAGAGTATTTGGAGGGCGTGGCGTTCACCATGCTCAAATTCAAGCCGGACAAGTGGGGCAAAATGATGAGCGTGGAGGAGAACCTGGCCCTGTTCACGGACTTCCTGGAGAAGCCGGACACCTTGGTCCTGGTGCTGACGCTCACCCCGGCCGGCATGATCGTGCCCTGCCTGGGCTTCCCGGCCTCCCTCAAGTCCAAGGGGGTCTACTTCGTCAAGAAGAAGCCGAGGAACATCAGCAAGGACAGCTATAAGGACCAACTGCTGTACGGGGACCTCAGCCCCACGCCTGTGGACCAGCTGATAGCCGTCGTGGAGGAGGTGGGTGCGTCCAGGCTGCCCCAGGCCGGGGCCCGAGAACGCGGGAGAAGCGAGCTCCGTGCCTCGCTGTCAGTGATGGGTACCCTACGACTCAGAGCGTGGTCCACGGGCCACCGGGATCGGCATGGCCTGGGAGCTGGGTAGGCGTGCGGGAGGCCCAGCCCCGCCTGCCCGGGGCGCTGAGACAGACCCGCGCGCTCGCACGGCCTCCGGGCCCCGCTGTGCCCCCGAGGGCTGTCATTCTCTCGATGTCACGAGCACCGCTGTCCCGTGCTGGCTCCCGTCCCTTCTCACGGCCGCAGACGGCGTGGGCCGTTTGAGTACCAGTATCTGGGTTTCCCCAAGTCTGAGGCTCCGAGTAAAGAAAGGGAAGACAGGGTGCCGTTGCTCCCCTGTCCCGCCTCGTTCCCTGCGTCACGCCCGCAGGCGTGGCAGGTGCGGCCCACAGTGCGCGGTCGGACCCGCTGGGTTTCCCCAAGTCTGAGGCTCCGAGTGAAGAAAGGGAAGACAGGGTGCCATTGCTCCCCTGTCCCGCCTCGTTCCCTGCGTCACCCCCGCAGGCGTGGCAGGTGTGGCCCACAGTGCGCAGTCGGACCCGCCACGGTACGAGCGGCTCAGCCATTGCTGTCTTCATCTGTGGAACGGGGGCTCACACTGCTGCCTCGTGTGAGCCCAAGGCACAGGGGCTGCTTGGCAGGGCCCAGGCCAGCGCCCGGCACCCCAAAGCTGAAGCCCACGGCACCTGCAGGACTCAGCTGGGGCTGCCAGCATCCTGGAGACTGGACGCAAGGTCACGGTGTCGCAGGGTCGTTCCCCCGAGGCCTCACTCCTCGGCTTGCAGACGGCCGTCTCCTCCCTGCGTCCTCGCATGGTGTCCCTCTGTGTGTCTGTGTCCCAAGCTCCTCATAAGGACACCGGTCACACTGGGTTAGGGCCACCCGTGTGGCCTCAGTTTTACTTAATCCCACTGTGACAGACACTCTCTCCAAACAGTCATATCCTGGGGTGCTGCGGGTTAGGGGTTCGACGTATGAATTTGGGGGTCTCAGCTCAGCTCACAACTATACTCCCAGGCAGCACGGAATGTTCGCCGTCAGCAAGGAGCGTGTGCTGGTGTGGCAGGAGCGGGGCCCCCTGCACGGGGGTGGCTTTGCCACGACAAGGACAAGGGAGCTGGGCCGTCGCCCTTGGTCGAAACCCCTCAGCCACCCGACCCCCAGGCATGGAAGAGGGGCGCCGCCTCCCCGGCTCCCGGGCACGGAGGGTTCCCTGTGTCCCTGGGCTGTCGCAGGGGTCGGAGCAGGCACGGGCAGAACCACACACTCACTCCCTCCAGGTCCTCTACTCCCTGTTAAACCAGAGTGAGAACCTGGACGGGTGGCCCTGGGTGGTCTCGGAGGACATCATGAAGCAAGTCCACAAGCTGAAGAACGAAATGTTCGTGATGGGTGGCAAGATCAAAGGGAAGACGCTGCTGCCCATCCCCGAGCACCTGGGCAGTCTGGACGGCACGCTGGAGTCCATGGAAAGGTAGGCGGGCCCTGCGGGGAGCCGGCTGTGGGGAGGAGCGGCCGGGCCCTGACCACCGAGACGGGTTCGCAAGCTGATGAATCATCCGAGACCAAGACAGCGCTGTCTGGCGGCGCCGAGTCTGAGCTCAAAGGGGTTAGGTGAGGACAGGCTGGGGCGCCGGAGCCCCTCCCCCGCCACGCATGCGACTGGCCCGGGCGTCACACGGCGTGCACAGGATGTCACTCTGTCATGCTTGTCACACAGCCCGGAGAGGGGATGCCCAGCTTCAGGCCACGGGTACCCCAAAGCGCCGAGGGGTATGGGAGGGACTTTCAGCCGGTGGGGGCTGTGAGTCTAAGTGGAGTGTCCCGGGGTCCCCGGAAAGCACCAGGACCCTGAGGTGTCCCCTCGCTGTCAGTGATTGGCGCCCCACGTCTGCAGCCGCCTGGCGCGTGAGGCTCTTGGAGCCGTACAGGGTGATGACTTGTTGCCTTTGCTCACGCCAGAGGTGCCCGTTCTGGGGCTCGTCCTGTGGGCACCTGGGCAGTCCTCCACGGCTCGTCCACTGAGCACTCAGCATGTGCCCGTGTGACCCCAAAAACAACTGTGGGGGGCCGTCTCGAGCAGCTTGCCCCAGAGCTGGCCTCTTCTCCTCTCTGGGGATCTGGCTCCTCTGATAACACTCATCGTTTGCTCGGGGTCTCCCAGCTGTGAGATTTGGGGGACAGGAGGCCAGATGCGGTGCCTCTGGCGGGTGTTCGGGGCCTGCTGGCTGAAGGCCACCTGGGGGGTGGGGGCTGGTGGCCCCGTTTGTGCGGCCGGGACAGCATCTTCCCCGACCCCCGCCTCGCAGGATCCCCTCATCCCTGGACAATTCGCTGCTGCACGCCATCGAGACCATCATCATCGACTGGGCCCACCAGGTCAGGGACGTGCTGAGCAAGGACTCGGCCCAGGCCCTGCTCGACGGGCTGCAGCCTCTGCCGCGGGTTGAGTTCGAGTTCTGGGACGCCCGGCTCATGAACCTCAAGTGCATCCACGACCAGGTGCCACCGCTGCTCCCGGGAACCCGGGAAGCCGGTCACCGCGCTGTCGCTCCCGCCGGCTCCGGGCTCCGGCCTCCGCTCAGGGTCTTCAGGTCGCTCCTGGAACGCTGATCTACTTCTCCCCTTCCCAGCTGAACAGGCCCAAAGTGAACAAAATCGTCGAGATCCTGGAAAAGGCCAAAAGCTGCTACTGGCCGGCCCTGCAAAACGTGTATTTGAACGTCACGGAGGGTGAGTGGGGGGAGCAGGCCTCCCTAACACAGACCCGGGGGTGCCGGAGGCGGGGTGTCACTCATGTGTGCCCCCGCCCCGGCCCCCGGCCCCTGCAGGGCTGAAGGAAGCCAACGACATCGTTCTGTACCTCATGCCCCTGCGGATCTTGCTGGAGGAGATGGAGCAGGCCGACTTCACGATGGTACAGCAGCAGGGGAAAGGCCACTTGGCGGGCCTGGTCCTGCGTCGTGGGGGGCAGGGGTGTGGGCCCAGGGAGGCCCCGTCCCTCGGCTTTGGGGTCACCTCCTGAAGCCTTGGGACGGGCAGAGCTGAGATGCGGCCACAAAGCTCATGGCCGGCCCATCTCTCCCCAGCTCCCGACCTTCATTGCCAAGGTGCTGTACACCATCTGCTTCATCTGGGCCACCTCGGAGCACTACAACACGCCCTCCAGGGTCATCGTCACCCTGCAGGAGTTCTGCAACCAGATCATCGAGATGGTAGCCCCCCGCCCCGGCCCGGGCCCGCCCTTCCGTTGCCCACGTTTAAACACAGGCAAAGATGTTGGCACAGGGACTTCAGGCCCCGGCTGGGGCTGGTCCTGTCGTGGCCACCCGGAGTTTTCCCAAGACCTGAGCGGTGCCAGCCCGCCCAGCCCCGTGTCGGAGGGAGGGGAGTCCCAGCACGCCAAGGCTCGGCCGGGGCTTGCGGGGTCGTCCGGTCCCACACTGAGCCTCCTGCCTCCTTTCCTTCTTCCTTTTCACGGACCCACATCAGCCGGCCTGGGCGGCCTGGGCAGGGGATGACGGGCCGGGTGAGGGAAGCAGCTCGGTCTCTTGAAAACCATCGAGCGCTCGGCAGACAGGCTGGGACGCAAACCCGAGGGACACTCCGTGTGCCACGGCGGCTGGCCTCCAGCCGGCCCAGCCACCCGCAGACAGCGCCCTCGGACCAGCCCAGCTGGCACGTCACAACTTCGGAACGTCCTCTGTTTTGCCCAGACGCGGACCTACCTGAGCCCCGAGGAGGTGCTGAAAGGTTTGCAGGGCGAAATCGAGGAGGTTCTGAACAACATCTCGCTGTCCGTGAACATCCTGAAGGAGCTGTACCGGGCCTACGACTTCTGCTGTGCGAACATGAGGCTGTTCTTTAAGGTGCGGCCTGGTGCACGCGCAGGGTCGAGCCAGGGCGAGGCAGGGCTGCGGCCGGCCCTGGCATCGGAGCCCGCGAAGACTTGCGAGGCCGACGGCCCGTCTGCTCTCTCCTCCTCCTCCAGAAAGAAAAGGAGCCAGTGCCCTGGGAATTCCCGTCCTCCCTGGCCTTCTCCAGGATGAACGCCTTCTTCCGCCGCGTCCGGACCATCGAGGTAGAGTTGGTTCACCTCCGCCCGCGCTCCGCGGCGGCGTCTTCCAGCCTCATCCCCGTCCCCGCGAATCCGGGACGTGGGGAACCTGTGTCACTGGTCCCCTCTGCTCCGAGCCCAGCTGTTAGCCAGGAACAAAAGTGACCCATCCTGGTGGCTTCTCGCTTATGTCATGCCTTTGGCGTATGAGCAGGCCGATGACGCCTTACGTGACCACGGTCAGGAAGCCCGGAGGCCGAAGGGAGAGAGTTAGTGGGACTCGGCTGGCAGCAGCGAAGGCTCAGGGGGTGACAACGCGGGGGTGACAGCGGTTC